TACAATGAAAATGTACGAAATGAAATGATACTTTTGAAACACTGCAATATACTGTATGTCCCAACTCAATTTGAGATCCAAGATGGTGGCAGATTAGGTGGATGTTACACTCACATCCTCCAGGTACCAAACTGGAATTATAACAAAATATTAAAAAATCAACCTGAATAACCCCCTGAAGGCCAGCTGAACAGAAATCTTATAATCAAGGATTTACAGAAGCCACATCAAGATTGTTAGGAAGGTCAGACACAAGAAAAAGGGATGGCACTGCGTCCACAGCGGCTGAGATTCCGACGGCCATCCTGAGAAGTGCAGGGTCTTAACCACAGGCCCCGCTCCCAGCCCAGAGTGCCAGAGCCAGGAAGAAGTGCCCACTTAACATCTGGCTGTGAAAATCAGCAGGGATTCTGTCTGTCAGGGACAGAAGTCTGCCAGAGACACAGGCACTATCCTAAAGCAGTGGTCGCCAAACAGTGGTTGTGGACTTTTGTTTAAACCTTTGGAATAGCAGTCACGAACCAATGGTCCACGGACCACTAGTGGTTCATGAAGTTGGAAAGGTTGGCGACAGCTGTCCTAAAGAACCAAAGCACGAAGTCCCATCTCATTTGCAGCGACTCATCCAGCAAAGGAAGGGCAGAGCCAAGTGGAGTCTCATGAATAGACTGGGATTGTGGCTCCGAGGAAAGCACTAGGAAACAGCCACCAAGACCCCTGTGCTATGTCACTCTAAAGCACTGCAGACGCCATCTATCTTGGGTGGAGCACACCCCTCCATATGGCATCAGCCTAGGGAAATGTAATAGCCACACCCTTTGAACTCCCTGTCACCCTACCACGTGGAGCTTGCACCCTGCTTAGGAGTCAATGCAGAGGTCTGAGGAGTCAATGCAGGTGTCAATGACTGAGCAGTATGGTTTTGGAGTGGGAGCCATTCCCCCCCACAAACACTTTCTCATGAAACTGACTGGCCCCTCTTCTTCAAGAGATTCTCAAGTCCCATCCTTTGGGCAACAGGTGGCTCCACCCTCTTGATTCCTGGCGGCACCAACATGTTAGGTTTGGGCAGAAACCATGAAAGACTGAGTGGTATAGGACTGGGACAGGGGCCACTCCTGCCATCCTTCCCAAGGCTGACTGCCACTTCTCCTTCACAGATGATCCACTAGCCCACCCTCCAAATTTCCAGAAATCTCACCCTGTAGAGCTCGAGCTCCTAGCAGAAATTTGGGCAGAATGAGTTGTATGGCTCTAGAGTAGGGGCCAGTTTTCCCTCACACACCCAATAAATGCAGAGCCCTCCCTTCACACAGCCAAATCTTGGTCTATTTGAGCCTAAACTCTGGTGGTCTGACCCTGATAACTACCTAAGACCCTGCCCCAACACAAGAGTCTGCGAGCATCTGTCAGGTAGCAGCTAGACTTAGTATACCCTGGGACAAATGCTGATTGGCCTCAGACCAGGCAATGGCACTGAGTTTGAACCTGTATCACTCCCCCTTACATGGTAACTCACTGAGAACCTACCTCATGTAATTTGAGTACTGCTAGAGGCTCTTTCAGTGACTAAACCTATGAGGAAGCCAGCAGGCTGAGTCAGTTGGAGGCGGATCTCAGGGTGTATTGGGATTTTTGCTGACCTGATCCAGAGCCTGGTGCTGGTAAAAAACTGGTCTCAGTGCACAGTTTTCTCCTTCCCATAAACATCCAGGCCCAGCAGAGGCAGCCACAAACCGTGGATTGCTTTGTCACTCCAAATAGGTTGCCCAGGGTCAGTCATAGGCAGCATCCAACATTAGCCTGCATCTGAGTTCCTCCAAAGATGCACCAGAACAAATACACAAAGTGGGCAGCTTCAGATAACATCAGAACAGGATCCAATTAGCATCACAAGTCACATATCCAAAGGGAGAACTCGGAATATCCAAAGGGAGACCTCCTGAGGCAAATTAAGCTTCATGTGGTCAGCACCTGCACAGCAGCCTGTATTCTGTGGTAAGGGTCATTCCTCAGTCAGCCAGCCTGAGGGTCAATCCTAGACACAAATGGGCCAACAGAAATCAAGAATCAAGTACAAAAGGCAGAATTATGTAAACCACACAAGGGACCTTCCTAAAACACCCAGATCAGGTAATCAGAAGACTGCACCACTGGACTCCACAGGACACCTACTACATAAGGCCATCCTACCATGACTGGTAACATAATAACAGATCTACCTAGTACCTAGAAACCAACAGAGAAAGGCAGTCAAAATAGGGAGACAAAGAAATAGATTCCAAATTAAAGAACAGGATAAATCTCCAGAAAAAGAGTTAAATAAAATGGAAGCAAGCAATTTATCAGATACTAGTGGCCCAGTGCATGAAATTCATGCACATTAAAAGGAAATTAGAGGAAATATTTTAATATTGCCCTTTATAATACAAGTATCAGAGATGAAAGAAAATTAGTAAAATGTATATGAAAATCGTTCTCCAGTCAAGAGTCTGAGGCACGCTGCGGGACCAGAGTCAAGTCCCCACCCACTCACATGCGCCTCAAAATCACGCAATATCCAGACCAGGCTGGCCCCACCCCTATTGGGTGAGATCCAGACTCAGCCAGCCCCAAGCACCACCAGGTGGGAGGTACAACCTCAGGTCCCCCAGTTTGTCACTGGAAAGGGTTGCAGACTCAGGTCCCCCATTAAGCCCCGCCGGGTAGAAGTTGCAGCCTCAGGTCCCCTGGCGCATGCTGGGTGGGGGGGTGCAGCCTCAGGATGCGCCTTGAGGTCCCTTGTCAAGTCAGGGCCAATCAGGGCCATTGTGCCCAGTCCCAACTGAGGAGATGGGGGCTGGCTGGCTCGGGGGGGGCCACAGGAAGGCTCCAGAGCATGTCCAGCCCATCTCGCCCAGTCCCCATTGGCTGGATCCCAGCCGCAAACTAACCTACCAGTCAGAACATATGCCCCCCTGGTGGTCATAGCGACTGGATGAGCCAGACACTTAGCATGACCAAACAATCAGTCGACTGGTCACTATAACGCACACTGACCACCAGGGAGCAGATGCTCAATGAAGGTACTGCCCCTAGTGGTCAGTGTGCTCCCACAGCAGGAGTGCTGCTCAGCTGACCAATGGTTGCCAGACACAGGGCTCACAGCTAGTGAACGCTGCTGCTCTCCCAATAGGGACTGACTGTGTGCAAACCTGTGGCAGGCATAGTGAGGCCAGGATGAGTGGCAGCAGCAGGCAGGAGCAACAGGTAGCGTAGGACTGCCAGTTTCAGCCCAATCCCCACAGGCCACGCCAGGGGACCCCACCAGCGCACATATTCATGCACCAGGCCTCTGGCATAGATACAGTTCAAAATAATGGTTATAATGATACTCAACTTCATGAAGGACAAAGAAACCATGAAAAACTTATAACACTAATTCAAAAGAATTTATGCATCCCTATGTTCATTGCAGTGTTATTTACAACAGACAAGATTCAGAAGTAGCCCAAGTATCCATCAATGGATGAGTGGATAAAAAAGCTGTGGTACATTTACATAATGGGATGTAAATGTCAAAAAAAAAGAGAAGGAAATCTTACCCTTTTCAGCAGCATTGATGGAATGGAGAACATTATGCTAAGTGAAATAAGCCAGTCAGAGAAAGACAAGTACCATATGATTTCACTCATATGTGGAATCCAAGTAACAAAATAACTGATTCGGAGCATTAAACAGAGTGCAGAATCTCAGAGGGAAGGCTGGAGAGGGTGGGTAGGTGGGAGATAATCAACCAAAAACCTTGTATGTATATATGCATAACCCATGAATACAGACAATAGGGTGCTGAAGACCTGGGCTGGGGAGGGAAGGCTAGGGGCAGGCTGAAGGAGGTCAATGGAAGGAAAATGCAGACACTTGTAATGCTTTCAACAATAAATAATAATTTACAGAGAGGAAGGGAGAGGGAGAGAGTCAGAAACATCGATGAGAGTCATCGATCAGCCGCCTCTCGCACACCCCCTGCCGGGGATGCGCTCGCAAGCAAGGTGCATGCCCTTGGCCGGAATCGAACCCGGGACCCGTCAGTCCGCAGGCCGGCGCCCCATCCACTGGGCCACCCCGGTCCCAATAATTTAAAAAACTAAAATAAATATTCCCATCCTTTAATATCTTTCAAATGTTCTAAACAATAACGTTTCTTTAGTTATTCTCTGATCACATGCAGTGATATCAATCTCTCCTTCCTCAATTCTTCTTACCTCATTCTCACCTCTATTTTATGTCTTAACATGAGACAACATATCATTTGTTTGGGGGTGAAAGTGAAGGTCACTCCTCCTTCCTATTTTAAAAAGATAATTATAATTTAAAAATATAAAAACAGTTCTCATTGTATCTGAAATATGCATTTCTCTCTATTCTATAGTAAGAAAAACTATTCCATAAAACTCTTTAACCTCTGAAAACACACCCAAGTTTTCTGAAACAAATATTAAAGAAGAAATCACCATGCAGTACAAAACTAATCCGAAATTCTATTTTGCAAGAGTTGAAATCTAAACATATGCACACATCTACTACAAAAACACAAACATAACGCAGATCATCTTCATATTCCAGTATTGGCTGAACAACAATATTCCCTCTATCATATGTATTCAGCCTAAACCACAAAACACCCAGGAATATCCACAAATACCCAAGATGTTAAAATTATAATTTTATATGGCTACTACCAATATTTTTCCACTGTAGAATTTAAGACATTAAGAAATGTTCTTGCAAAAAAGGCACCTTACAAGATAAGCTATTTCTTCAAATAAATAACAAAGTGATATGTGTAAATATGATATCAAAACCTGTCACAAATAAGGATCAGTTGACTTGTTAAAACTTGTTTAATTTTCATTGAATTGTGTTTAAATTTTCAACCCAGAGAACAAAAACCGTGCTAAAGTACAAGCCCTAGTTAAAAAAAAAAAAAAAAAATCATTTCATGTGCTACCATTTCTTACCTTTGAATCTTCATTGCTCACTCCTAGCTGTAATACAGCTTGAGGAGATTTTAATTTTGCTTGAGCAGAGTGAGCCATCTGAAGGTTAAGCTGCCATCCAACCGTCTCTAGCTATAAAAGAGAAGTGAAGATTAGAATCAGATGATACAGAAGGAAAAAAACACACAACTTTAAGCAAATCTCCACTTAGCAGGAATGAATATAGATAGACTGGACTTCATGGAAAGTCAGCTCCAGAGCGCCTTTAACCTGCATACTCTGCAAATTCTTTCTTCGGGCTCATTATATTGGCCTCATGCCATGCCTGTCAAATTCAACAGTAAAACTGGTCTTTAAATACAATCTGTTCTAAAAATAAAAATTCCAAGATTAGCAATAAAGCACACTAAGAGAGTAAATGGTTTTTAAATAATGCATTACTATTTTAAAATAGTATATTTCAAAGCCAATGATTTTTTAAGTAGTTATGAATTTTAACTAATAAATAGTATATGCTGGTCATAATCACTTAAATGACCTTCCTTTATCTTTCAAAACTCCTTGTATTAGGTAGAACACAAGGAAGAAGGTTTCTTCTTAATTTAGAGGGAAACTGAAGTACCCAGATGGTAAGAAGTTCACACATTTAGACACAGTTAGTGAGACTGGAATAGAGCCAGGCAAAGAATTGCTATCTACTAGTGAGCAGGTGTTTCCCAATAGATTATCATGCTTTCAAAGTACTCTAACTTAGCATGGTTCCCAGTTATGACACAAACTAATTAGAATATTTCCTTTGAATTTATTAATTAGCACAACAGCAAAAGTTAATCAAGTAAGGCAAACATAGTAAAGACAGGTTAAAGCAGCACAAATGTGGCTTTATTGAACTTGACAGATTATTGGTTTCTCCAACCTCAGAACTATGAGTATAAAATTTCCAGTAAAACTCAAGTATCATTATTTAGGGAAGTATTATGAAATGCAATTGTCACATGCCTCTGACAACCTGACTCCAATTCAGTCAACTACCTTAGCTGCATTGGTAAGAATGGCAGCCTCAGAAGAATTTTTACTTAACCGGAATACTAATTGCTAACTTGAAAGCCTGTTCAACAGTTAGAATCACAGCAGTGACTCAAAGCCAAATTGGAAAGAGAGCAATGAAAGTATTATCTATTCGAGAGAGGATGTGATGTGAAAATAAAGATACAGTTCTGTTCTCTCTGGCACTGAACCTTTTAGAAGTTATGGGAAAGATGTTGCCGAAACATAATCCATAATGCCACAAGTAAAATATCAATTTAATAGTGCATGTTAAGTAAGGATCCTTAATGCATTGAACTTTAACACTGATTACCATAAATCTCTAATACCAGCCCACCACTGTTTTCAATAGTTACATACAACAGAGCTTACAATAAAACTGGAGGAAAAACACGACATAACCACTCTCATATATACAGTACAAGCATATATACGTGTCATCTTCTAGGAATTCATATGAACCTATAAGACTCTGCTTTGGTCTAATTTAACTGACTCTATCCCTGTCACATAAGCACTTAAGATAAATGACAAAGATAAATATTGCTTTAAGTGAACAGCATACCCCACTGTGGTCAGATTTTGCATAAATTATAATAATATGTGTTTAGTCACTGCATAGAGGTATATGGGGGAATTAAAAAGAACTTAAAGCTTATACTTTGGTTCATGCTTAAGCTGCACTCACGAGCTACCTAACCCTGGTTAAATCACAATCTTATAAACTCTCTTTTACTCATATAAAACAGAAATAAATCTACTCGAACTATCTACTTTTTTAAGTTATTGATAATATCAAATAAAACATTAAATTCCCATATCCAAAGTGTTTTGGAAATTACAAAGTATTGTAAATATAAGGCACTCTGATCACCTATTTTTTTTCTATACTAACTTTCAAAAAGAATAGGGACTTTATTTTTTTTTTAACTTTTTTTTTTTTAAATATATTTTATTGATTTTTTTTCAGAGAGGAAGAGAGAGGGATAGAGAGTTAGAAACATCAATGAGAGAGGATCATCGATCAGCTGCCTCTTGCACACCCCCTACTGGGGATGTGCCCGCAACCCAAGTACATGCCCTTGACCAGAATCGAACCCGGGACCTTTCAGTCCACAGGCCGACGCTCTATCCATTAAGCCAAACCGGTCTCGGCAGAATAGGTATTTTATATATAAACTAAAGGACCAGTGCACAAATTCAAGTACGGGTGGGGTCCCTTGGCCTGGCCAGTGATGGGGGCCTATCAGGGCTATCTTGCCCAGTCCGGGAGGAGGGACCACGGGAGGTTGGGCCAGCCAGAGGGGAGGGACCACTGGAGTCTGGCTGGCCAGCCAGGGGGAGAGACTGCAGGAGGTTGGCAATCACAGAAGGTTGGCTGTGGAAGCGCACTGACCACAGGGAGCAGCTCCTGCATTGAGCATCTGCCCCCTGGTGGTCAGTGCATATCATAGCTACCAGCCAGTAAACTGGTCGTTTGGTCAACAGATCAAAACGGTCACTTAGGCTTTTATATATATGTAGATTGAATTGAACTGAAATGAATCAAAGAACACTCACAAGAAAAGGTAATTTTTTAAAGTCATGACTGAAAAGAGTTTTGTGGATTGACTTTCTTTAATTTCATAGCCTTTCTATTGAGTTTTATGATTTAAAAAAGAATTGTTCCAAGATCACATGAAAGATTCATTTGAAAAGAAAAATAACACTGCTAAGCTCAAATGTAGGTATATGCATATATACAGACCCACACAAAAATTTATACAGAAAATGACCAGTATTCAGAAACCTTAAGTGAAGAAATATAGAAAGAATAACTAGAGTTATGAAAGAACACTTTACGGCCAAAGCCGGTTTGGCTCAGTGGTAGAGCATCGGTATGCGGACTGAAGGGTCCCAGGTTCGATTCCGGTCAAGGGCATGTACATTGGTTGCGGGCACATTCCCAGTGGGGGATGTGTAAGAGGCAGCTGGTCGATGTTTCTCTCTCATCAACGTTTCTAGCTCTCTCTCTCTCTTCCTCTCTATAAAAAAATCAATAAAATATATTTTTTTTTAAAAAGAAAGAAAGAACACTTTACGGTTATACAGAACAGTAAGAGAAACAAAACAAACTCTTTTCAGTGAAAGTAGGAGACAAAACCAATAAGAAAGCTATTTTTTTTTAATGGGTTTTTTTTTTTTTTTTTTTTGAGTTTTTACAGAGAGGAAGGGAGAGATAGAGAGCTAGAAATGTCGATGAGAGAGAAACACCAACCAGCTGCCTCCTGCACACCCCCCACTAGGGATGTGCCCGCAACCAAGGTACATGCCCTTGACCGGAATCGAACCTGGGACCTTTCAGTCCAAGGCCAATGCTCTATCCACTGAGCCAAACCGGTTTCGGCAAGAGAGCTATTCTTATTATCACCATTTAACAGATTAATAAGGTAAAATATAAAAACTTAGTGAACTGGCCCAGCTAGTGTGGCTCAGTGCTGAGCATCAACCTATGAACCAGAAAGTCATGGTTCGATTCCCAATCAAGGCACATTCCAGGGTTGCAGGCTATATATATAAGCTATATAAAGAGTGCTTATAACTCAATAAGACAAAGAAATATACACAAAAAATGGGCAAGCATTTGAACAGATAAAAAAGCTCTTCAGTATAAAAATCTATGCCATAAATTACTAAAAAATATCTTTGGTGTAACATAACCTATACCTTGTGAGGAGCAAGAATCCTCTGCCTGAATTTTTCGACTGTTTCTTGACCCATGGAAGACCAAGTACTGACAAATGCTTCTGCTTTGTCTTGTGCAAGATGAATGTTCTCTAACTGCTGCTGCAAAGCTGCAGGCTTCACATTGTGATATACTGCCTATTAAAGAGAAAATAAATTACATACATCTCTAAATTCATACAGAGATCTTGATCTATAATCAAATACAAAATTAATAATTTAAAGTAAAGCAAAAGAATATTTTATATTTCTATTGCAGAATTTTTTATTTTATTTTACAAACAATATACCATTCCAAAGGCTGAAAGATTTAAGATTAAATGCTTAAATTATTCAGGCTAAACTTTTTCAATTTTGCCTGAGGTTTAAGTACTCCATTTAATGGGAAAACTTCTTTGCCTTAATTAATGGTGCCCTAATTATTCATTTCTTGGGTTCTTCCACTATCCCATCATGGCCCGAGCAGGTTGGGCCAGGCAAAGGCCAGGCAGTTCGGGTTCTCAAAGGCTCTCGGCTCCCCACCCCATTGCCTTGATGCCCAAGAGGAAGATCAGCTCCACTGAGGGTGAAGCAAAGGAGGAACCCAAGAGGAGATCAGTGAGGTTGTGAGCTAAACTTGCTCTGTAAAAGTGGAAATGAAGCCAAAAATGCCAACAGGAAAGGATAAATATGCAGTAAAAAAAAAAGTGCAAATAAAAGGGAAAAGGAATGCAAAGGGGAAACAGATCAAAAGGCTGACCAGGAACCTAAATAAGAACTACCAGTGGAAATGGAGAAACTAAAAATAAGGAGAGCCCTCGTCAGTTTGGTTCACTGGATAGAAAGTCAGCCAGCAAACTGAAGGGTCCCAGATTCGATTCTGATCAAGGACACATACCTTGGCTGCAGGCTCCATTTCTGGCTCTGGTTGGGGCAAGTGCCAGGAGGCAACCAATTGATGTGTCTTTCTCACAGCGATGTTTCTCTCTCTCTTCTCTTCCCCCTCCATTCTACTCTCTCTCAAACCCAATGGAAAAATATCCTCGGGTGAGGATTAACAACAACAACAAAAAAGTAAAAATTAGGACAGGCCAGATTCAAATGAAGCAGGAGAAAAAGAAGCCAAGTCTAATTAATATTATATATTATGTCTTATCAGTGGTATTGATCTCCCTTTTTGTACAATCCAGAGAGTAATTTTACCAACTATTTTGTAAATGCCCATTTTTTTTAGTAGCTTTAGAAACATTTCTTAAAATGAGGGAATTCAACCACATCCCATTTTTTTAAATGTAAGTGATTTAAAATATATATATATTTTATTGGCCAAGACCGGTTTGGCTCAGTGGATAGAGCGTCGGCCTGCGGACTGAAAAGTCCCGGGTTTGATTCTGGTCAAGGGCATGTACGTTGGTTGCGGGCACATCCCCAGTAGGGGGCGTGCAAGAGGCAGCTGATGGATGATCCTCTCTCATTGATGTTTCTAACTCTATCCCTCTCTCTTCCTCTCTGTGAAAAATCAATAAAATATATTTAAATATATATATTATTGATTTCCTACAAAGAGGAAGGGAGAGGGACAAAGAGCTAGAAACAACGATGAGAAAGAAACATTGACCAGCTGCCCCCTGCACACACCCCCACCGGGGATGTGCCCGCAACCAAGGTACATGACCTTAACAGGAATCGAATCTGGGACCCTTCAGTCTGCAAACCAACACTCTATCCACTGAGCCAAACTGTCTTCGGTGTAAGTGATTTTTTAAGAGGTGAAATCATTTGCTGATTGCTTGTTTTTTGATACAACCAAAACATAGTGGTATATTAAATATGAGAGGCTTTGTGTCAACATTTCATAGATGTGGGTAGTTTTTCTATTCTTTGATACAAAGCATATTAAAGTGGCAATTTGAAGTCAGTCATACATTTACTATGTCCTGAACATTTTAAATTACTTTTATTCTCATTTTCATTTCTGGTAAAATTGTTTCCTAAAGAAAAACACTTCTTGATCTTGGCTCTCTCTGTCAGAATTTTGTGTGCTCTGGAACATCTTTGGTGTGGAAGTCCAGTTTTCTTAGTAAGTGTGTTAACGCGCCGTGAAAGATGGAAAATTTGATTCTGCAGCATGGGACTTTGATGTATTAACATTTGAAGATATTGGTTCTTAATATTCTATTAAAGAAAATTAGCCTCCAAATTTTAAGCTTGGAAGTCACTGGAATAACTGTTTAGAAAATAATCACAATTACATGACTTTAGGTTTTTGGTATCTATGTTAAGAATCCTGTACAAACTGAAATGTTTGTGTACTTCTCCTCAAAACAGCCAATTAAATCTCAATTATGAAAGGAAAAAATTCATTTTCTTATTTCACCTAATTATTTCAAAGAATTGTACAATGGTTTTGTTTCCCAACTAACAAAAATTTCTAAGAAGCACTTTCTCTAAACTGCCCTCCCTCTCCCAACTTCCTAGATAATATATAATAAAATATTGTAAAAATTTTAACAGTGTCCTATTACTTACATTATTCTGGAACAACTTTCTCATAAGCCCCTGGATGCTCTGTCTTACTTGATTATCCTTTTCATCTATTGAAGGCCCACCAAGGATAGTCATCGTTATGATCTGTAATTTGTATAAAGCTGTATGTGTAGATGCCTGGCAGCTTGTCCTTTTAACAGTATCTGTGACTAGAATGTTCATGAAACTACAGTACTATTTAAAATTTAATTCCATAAGCATTCTATTTAATCAATCAACAGGAATTTATAGAGGATCTATGTTAAGCCTAGGAATGTGTTAGGTTTATATAAGATGCACACACAAGATCTTGGCCTCCCACAAATTTAGTAAAGAGGATATCACTGACACCCATGAAATAATGAAAGACTAACAAAGTGGTCTACTACGATAAGCTAAAGATAAAAGCAACCCAAATAAGAGGAAGAGTGCAAGTATAAGGGATCAAGGCTACAATGAAATGAGATGTGAGAAGATATACAGGCAGAAGGGCAGCTCAGTAGGAAGAAATAATATGACTAAAAATCCTTTAACAAATACTTCTTTTCTAAATATTTTATTTACCATCTTAGTCAAAGAAATTCCCCAAAATCATTTATTAAAAATTTTAAATGAAGTGTTAATTTTCCCAAATTATTATAACAAGTAACAATGAATTAAAATCTTTTATAACTGTCTCAAGTCAATAAAGTCTTGATTCATATTGTCAAATACTTACACTACTCAACATTTAGACTGTTTGTGCAAAATGCAATACCCTGTGGGGGGGAAAAATCATACATTCAAATGTTTGTTTGTTTTTTACTACATTGAAATTCTTAATTAAAATATATTCACAGCTTCCCTTTGCACACTTAAGGAAAAAAATGTTACACCTATCATAGCAATACAAACATGTACCAGAAACCAATGATTAGGAACAATAAAAATACCTGTTCTAAAATGAATGATATTGTTTCAAGAACTAGGTGAAGATCTTGTTTCTCTAGAGAAAATGCAGCTTGAAGTTTTTCTTCCTCTTCTTCACTGAAACTGTTCTCAGCCTACAACACAAAAAGCAATCTACTAGCACATATTCAGGTATTAAAAACTCAGATCCTCAAAGGAAGATCCATTCGATCATATAAGGAATGAGAAATTGAAAGAGTAAATCCATGGTAAAAAAATAAATAAATAAATAAAATTTTAAAAAAATAATCAAACAAAAAAAACTTGTGTGTTTGAAAGTTCAGTAACTCAAAATCAACACAGTTCAATATCTGAATCTTGCTATGAGTCTCTGCCTTAAAAGCTTAGGGATTATGCACAACCACAAGTTCTAGTATTAGAGCACAGTCCAGTGTGACTGGAGCACTTCCAAAGTGGGGAGAATACAGGTTGTGGCCATAATATATTATTATAATGTTCAGGATTTTGAACTTTTTCCCATAGGACAATGGAAAAATCACTGATGGTTTTGATATAATCAATTCTTTTTTAGGAAAAGAAATATTTGGAAAGATAAATGAAAAACAATATGAAAGACTAGAGGGAAAGACTAGAGGCCTCAAGATAGCAGTTTGAAGGTAATCATTGCATCCATAGAAGAGATAAGAATCTGAACTAGGACTATATGAAGAACTTGGATTTGAGACACTTCAGAGGAAGGAAGGGCTTTTGGGCTGGCTCCTGGCTGGTGGGAGAGAAGGAATGAGTCTAAGTTCTTATTTAACAGGGATGCCTGGTAACAGGCAGAAAAGTTAGTGTACTCCATAAACATGTGATGGATGGAATTAAATGTTTTATAACCTGATAAAAAAGTTAACTTAGACTGGTGAGCAAGCAGTAAAATACTAAACATCAATATGTCAAAAATAACCACACCCTTGGGGGGGGAAAAAGTGAATGATTTAAATGAAAGATTAAATATATAATTTGATAGCAATGCCACAGAATTATTTTTAAAGGGAAGAATTAAGTCATAAAATTGGAATTTTCCCAATACATATTCAACAGAACCCTGGTCTCAAAATATATGCCATCATAAAATAGTTCCAAGGCCAAAAACATTTGGAAAATTATGCACAGCTTTAAATATTTACTATAACACTACTATATATTCTGAAAAGTTCCATAATAAAAAAAAGTTCCATAATTAACGTTAATGAAGTCAGAGCTTCCAAAACTTTTGGTCATGGAACATTATCAAATTTTCATGAACAGACTGTTGAACCTCAGAGGGAAGACAAGGGAGGTTGGGTGAGAAGAGATCAACCAATGAATGTGTATGCATATATGCTTAACCAGTGGACACAGACAATGGGGCGGTGGGGGGTTGGCGGAGAGGAGGGGGGCAGAAGGGAGGACAGGAGCTGGCTGGAAGAGGTTAATGGGGGAAAGGGAAGTCCTATGTAATACTTTCAACAATAAAGATTTTTTAAAAAATATATTTTATTGATTTTTTTTTACAGAGAGGAAGAAAGAGGGATAGAGAGTTAGAAACATCGATGAGAGAGAAAACATTGATCAGCTGCCTCCTGCACACCTCCTACTTGGGATGTGCCCGCAACCAAGGTACATGCCCTTGACCTGAATGGAACCTGGGACCCCTGAGTCCGCAGGCCGATGCTCTATCAATGAGCCAAACCGGTTTGGGCTCAACATTAAAAAATTTTAAAAAGAAAATGTTAACCAGGAAAATATTTTTCTAGAGACCTGGTGTTTTCAAAGACACACTTCGAAACATTATCCTTCGCAAAAAGTTCTTTAAGTAGAAACAGTTTCAGTGGAATCAGGAGAAAGTATTTTAAGTTATAGAAATGCAAACATACAAACCTTCAGGTGAAGTTTTTGAAGAATTCGGGTGAGCAATCGTGGAAATCTTCCTATATCTATTGCATTTATCAGCGACACTGCTTTTTTCATGCTAAATAAATTAGTAAACAAAGTTTTTAAGTGAGCTTTCCAAGTGGAATTGTACTTGTTATAAGTACAGTTGTCTATAACTGCAGTTGTCTGTAAGTTTTCATTTCAACAACTCTAATTGCTGTAAGGTAAGTCTGAGTGAAACAAAGAAAAATAGATGATGGCCAGCAAAAAAGACAGGGCATTACCAAATGCCTCCCCCCCCACCCCCCACAAGACCTCCCACCACACACACACCCATTCAACTATTGTTGAAAAGGTCTATTGGGCAAGTTTTCGCCTTCTTTTGGGCAAGGCAAACTACGAGGAAAGTTTGCGCTCTGTGGGGAATGGCATTAATGTAGAAGTACAGTATCCACTTAACTCAAAAAGGCAATTCCAAAATGAAAAGAGTGGAAGGAGGGAAGTGGCTAGTACATGATAAATATAAAGAATAGGATGCTGTGTAGTAGATATTTAAAAAAAAAAATACTACATACAAAAATCATTCGGGGGGTCACTAAGTACACAGTTGTTTTAAAACCCTGCTTCAATAGTAATAAAGGCTGAAGTCGGTTCGGCTCAGTGGATAGAGCATCAGCCTGTGGACTGAACGGTCCAAGGTTCGTTCAGGTCAAGGGCATGTACCTTGGTTGCGGGCACATCCCCAGTAGGAGGTGTGCAGGAGGCAGTTTATCGATGTTTCTCTCTCATTGATGTTTTTAACTATCTATACCCCTTCCTCTCTGTAAAAAAAAATCATAAAATATATATTTTAAAATAGTAATAAAGAACTTTAAGTGACGTGATAAAAAAAAAAAAAAAAAAAAAAAAAAAAAAAAAAAAACCACCCCGTCGCACCGTGTTACTGTGATTGACAGACGTGGTGTCATGTTACCCAGACGTTGGTGTCAGGCAAGTTACTGGCTCTCAGAATTCAAAGACTCCAGGAAGAAGGAAAAGCTTTTAAATGGCAAGGACTGTGTTCTTTCACATTCCTGCCCACTTCGGGCACAAAGGAGTTATTTTCCACCTTCGGCGACTTGCCTGTGTGTTTCAGCACTTCTCCCACATCCACACACCGCCGCTGCACTAGGACTTAATGACTCCTCGTTGCATGAAGTCATTCTCACCTAAATATATTACCTCCATGGACAGCCGGGCTCACCGACCATAAACAGAAATTAACTAAAAAGAAATCAATGAAAGCCACAGCCACGTTCCCACATCCTGACCGCTAAGGCGAGCAGCCCTGACCCGGCCCGCGTCTAACCAGCCGGGTGGGGGGCTGCTGACACGGCTGAGGCTCGCAGACCCCCGGCGCCGGCGGGCGCCTCTCTCGGGCCGGGGTCCGGAAAAGCACGGGGCGGAGCCGACCTGCCCGGCTTCCGCACGGGACCCACGGCAATGACCCACCGGCCCCGCGGGACCGCCCCGCGACCCGGACAGCCCCGCGCCCCCGCCCCGGCCGGCCCCGCGGGCACCGAGGCGACAGACGCAGGACGACAACCCTGGCCGCCGCCGCCAGTGCCGGGCCGGGCGGCTACCTGGGGCTCTCCCGCAGGATCAGCGCCGCGGACGCCGCCATCCTCCAAGCTCCCTCGCCCGCCGCTCGCCGTCAGCTGCTCGCGGCCCGGCCAATGGCGGCGCGCGGACGGGAACCCGGAAGGGCCATGCCGCGCCGCCCTCGGGTTCTCGCCAGCGGGCCGCGTCCCGTCCTCCGGTCCCGAGGGTCAGGGAGGTGCCAGTGTCCTCCCTGCCTCTCCAACCTGTTCGAACTTAGGGCTGTACCCGAACACATCTATTTATATTCGCATATGTACTATTTATATATACCTGCATATGGATGTGTGTGTGGTTTTTTTTTTATTTTTTATTATAGTATCACATAATTGTCCTCACCCACCCCCCCAATCCCATCCCAAACCCCTCCCTACATATACCCTTACTCCCCTTACTACTCCCCCCCTGCCGTTGTCCATGGCCACTGGCCAGGCCCGTATGCATGCACACAAGTCCTTTGGTTGATCTCTTCCCCTTTGTGTTTTTATGGGTCCTGTATGTCGTATGTTTGTATAAGCATATGCATTAGGCGTGTGTACATATGCATGATATGTATGCTCTCTGCAGGGCGCCACGTGATGCTGCGCAGTAGTGCTTTTGGTCGCTCAGCAGGATTCCCAGGCGCTGGACTGGGCTCTTGAGATACAAAAGAAGAAATGTCTGCCCTCTTGCTCTCCCCGCAGTACAAATGGACGGGCATTTGTTGCTCCCTCTTTGGGGTCCCACACTGAGTTAGGGACTGCATAATGGGAGCGATGCAACGCTGCAGAAAATGCTATTAAGGATCTCACCAGAGAGTAAGTAGGGCAACAACGCGTGTTCACAAATACCTTGGTTTATCTCAGAAAAACGCGTACTGCATGAAGGGGATTCAAAGGTGCGAACAGTGATGAGGCATCGGAGGTAGGATCAGGAAAGATTCCCAGGGCAGGTGACATGAAGAAGCCTGGAATGATGGGCTGTGGCAGGTGCACTTGATCTGGTGAAAATGTTTACAAGCAAAGGAATTCTTGTGATGAGAGCTGGGTTTGGGTGATGGGGAGGGATTGCTTTAAGATTACTGTCAGCGGAATGATGAGTGATTGGAAAGAGGTAAACGAAAAAAAAGCCAAATTGGAAATTTGCAATAATCTATGGAAAGCAATAAAATCCTATGGTAGGAAAATGGCATTGGTGAAGAAAAAGAGAGTAGATGGATTAGAGTTACATTTCAGCTGTAGAATCTTCCGGAGAGCTGGCAAGAGGTTGAATTTCATTTTCCTACCTAATTATGTTTTACTTAAATTATTATTTAAATTAGTTGGCACTCCTACAGCAGCCCAAAAACATCCTAACTGAAAGGCAAAGCCAGATTGCAAATTAAAAGTCAATAATCCCCACATGGATAATTGAGTCAATTATACAGTGTGCTGAACACATACATACAAATACATTTAGTTCCACAGCACTCCAAATACTCCCCCAACTGATGCAATATGTAAAAAAAAAAAAAAAGGTGTATCTGAATCTACATAAATTATAGGTTCTGATATAAACACATTACCCTACCTGGCACAACTTTTAAAGATTCCCAGTTCAGTCACCTTTTGAGTCATTTTCCATTTGTCTTGATCCGTTGCCTAAAGTAGAGCCACTAACCAGCTAAAACCCTCTGTAATCTCTAGTATTCGTACATAATGGAATACCTGTACCCCCCTATTTGACTGTAGATATGTCTGTCTGTACCTATATATCTATATCTATCTACCTATCTATATACTATCTATTTATATTATATAAATATTATATAAGTGACAGCACATTATATACCCTAGATTGTTCTGTCAATGGGTTAGCTAGGTATTTGGTGCAGGTCCTTCACATTGTAAAAGCCTTTATTCCTACAACTCACCTTGAGTGTCTTAGGTGCATTTACCAAAGGTAATTTAAAAGCACTGGCAGAGGACTAACACTACTTGCTACCCATGTCCTACCCCCAGGTGACAATCAAGTATAACATTCATATTCAGCTGCTTTGTCACATTGGCTTGCAGAAGCCACTGGCCCAGTTTCCCCCCTTCCCACCATGCCAGCACACACCTCCCCCCCACACTGTCGCTGAGTGCTTAGCCTGTTTTTAGCTGTGTGGTCAGCACTTGCCTCATAGGTGTGAGAGAACCAACTGGGGTAAACTGAAGAACACACCTTTGTAATTGTTTGTTTCACACTTTCTCTCTAGATCCTCAAGGAAATAAAGTTTTAAAATTATATATTTTTATTTATGAGTTGGTTTTGTGAATGTACCTGTTTTATGTAAGATATATCAAGAATAAGGGATGCATGACTACAATGAATTCTTTGAAATTTGCATACCAGGCTGTGATGTAGAAAGGAAGCAAGAAACTTAGAAAATAAAGAAAATGCACTATTAAAGCTGCAGGCCACTTCTGCTCATAAATAAATAAATAAATAAATAAAATAAAAAATAAACATTATTTATGTTCACCCACCCTTAACTAAATGGAGGACTGGGAAGAGTATGAGAGGTAAGTTGTTGTTTTTTTTGTTTGTTTGTTTGTTTTTTAATGTTGCAAAAATACACTTTGTGATATATGAACAGACCCCTTCCTAATCTACTCTCAAACTTAAAGTTAAAAACCATCTCAAATTATCACCCCCTCATTTTAATTTGCACCTAGTTTTCTCCATCCTACCTCCCAGAGGCCTGTTCCATTAACAGGACTGATACTTACACATACGATGTGAGAGAGATTGAATGGTTTCTTCAGTAATTTGCACCAGTGAACACAGTTTGAAAAGAATGAGATGGTGCTCCCCATAGACACCGGTTAAGCGAGGCATGATAAGAGGTCTGCTTTTACCCAATGACTAGGAGCTACCAACACAAACAGGCTGCAGAAAAAGAAAAATCCATGCATCAATAGCGCACACACAAACCAGGAAAGAAGCATAACTTAATCACACACTCGAAAAAGTGTCTGCTAAGAAAACAGACAGAATATCTATCTGTATTGCTACGCTGGAGTCTAAAGGTGATTCCCAGTCAGTTGGAACAGATGCCTTCTCTTCCTTTCCTGGAGAAGGAAAAGAAGGTTGTCCACAAAGTCATGAGAATTCTCTAATAGCCCCCAGTTTGGAGAGGAGCAGAGCGAGAGGTAAACTGTCAGGAAGGGGGCGGGGGGTGGGGGGGAATAGGGACATCTCATCTCCGGAGATCTAGAGGATGTGAGTCTGTGAGGGCCAGTGCAGGATTTGGTGCAGGAGCCTCCAGGAGTCACTTTTTTTGGTGCCTCTGGGGTAAGGGACAAGTAGAGCAGTAGGCAGAAAAACAAAACAAAACTATTTAATATCCCAAATTATTTTTTTTTTTTAAAAGAGCTAGAAATTTGAAAAGCAAGCAGAAGAAAAGATACTCTGAGACAAAAAGCCAGTGGGGAAGGTTACATTGAAGGCACAGTGAAAAAATCCTTCCCACATGGTTAAAGGAACAAACACTGGCTGAAAACCACAGGGATCAAATCCTTCCCGTACTAAGTGGAAACGAAAGAATGAAATAGGGAAGTGAACGGCCAGGGCTGACTCAGGAGGAATTGGGGTTCTGGTGTCACAATTAATGAAGGGCTCAGCTGAAGGGTGGAGTATCTATCCCCTTCAGGGACTGGACATGCCCCGACCCAGCGGAGTGAATCCTGATACAGGACGGTTAACTAAGTCTCAGAATTGAGAAAGTAGAAGTTAAATCCACCAACAAATACTACCCTCAGCCCCAGCTTCCCTGAAACTTTTGTAAAACAGTAGACAGAATGCTATATTGAGCTATCAAGCTGGCGTCCTGGATGGAAAAACAGATCTCACATGAAAAGCAAAGGCACTAAAGAGCCTTTGGCACCACATCAGAGAAAACAGAGGCCTGGGCAGAGCTGCCCATGCTAAACACAGAAGGATGAGAAGAAAGGGTATGACAACTGTGCAATGCTGTACAGAAAAATCTGTGAAAGGGAGGTACACAGCATGCAAAAATAAAAGATTAAAAATTCAATCTGGAGTAAAATATAACCTAAGAGACTGAAGAAAATCCCCTGTGATTGCTCCTTAAGATAAAACTTAATAAAATAAGTTCAGTGGAATAAGAGCCAAAAGACAATTTGATAAAACAATATATTGAGATGTAAAAGCCACTGCAAAACCAAAGAAAGAAACTGTGACTAAAAGCTCACCGTTTCCTAAGTAATGCATAAATTAGAAATGGATAAAAACAAAAAAACAAAACTCAGATGACAAAATTGCAAACTGAGTTATTGACAGAAAGGAAGGGCTATTCATAGAGAATGCAAAGAAAAGAGACAAACACAAAGTAGATACTGAGAACAAAGAAAAGCCAACCTAAAGATAACTCTGTCCCCAAGGCAAAGAACCCAAGGAATAGACACAAAAATATATTCCAGTATTGAAATAAGGAGGGTGACTTCATTTTTGATGTTTTGTTTTTGACAGCTTTCAAGTCCTTATCACTCCCTGTCCTCTTCTGCTCCAAATCTGGGCAAACTGATAAGGAAGCCCAGGTGCACCCTCCGTTGGCATTGGCAAGAGATCAAACCACTCACGCCCCGGACTGCCTGGGAGAATCCTCATCCTGGCCCTACTCGGTACCCACCACAAAGTCTCAGTCTCCCTTCTCTGCTCTCTCAAGCTGTTTTTGAACCTACCCAGGAGCCTCCCCTACTTGTCCCATAAAGCCCATTATTATTTGAGTAATAACCATCTTGGTATGTGTGTGGCATCATAATTCTCAACATCAAACCAAACCTGGGGTAGGAAGTCATCACACCTCTATGGAATGATCACAACAAAGATGTACTAGAAGACAAATTCCCTATCATGTTGGAAAAGACTGAAAGAGCATATTGTTTTCTGGAAGACCCTGATATAAAACGATGATGCTGAGACAAATTCTGGGAAAATTATCAAATTTCAGGATAGAGAAAATAATTTTCAGGCCTCCAGGTGAAATAGGTAAGTCACTGA